CACTGCTCTGGCTCTCGTTGACGTCGGGCCGGGAGCCGCCGCCCAGCGCGTAGCCCGGGCCGTTCCCGTACAGGATGGACGTGTAGGCCTTGTTGTCCTGCGCCCTGCTGGGGGCCAGCCCTGCGGGGAGAGGGTGGCACCTCGGGTCGCGCTGGCCGCAGCTCGCCATGTGCGCAGCGCGGGCACCTGCTCTGCGCACCGGCTCAGTCCAGGAATTACGGGAGTTCGGGCCGGTGCCACCAGTAAGCGTTTGACAGATGGGGAGACCGAGGCTCGGCCCCGCTCGGCCCCGGAGCTGACAGCCACTCCCCCACCTACCGAAGATGGAGCTCCCGCGCATCGTGTAGCCGCCGAACGTGAAGACGTGGGAGTGGTCGGCGGTGACGAGGGTCAGTGTGTCGCTCTCGCTGGTGACCTGGCCCGCCCTGTCAATGGCGTTGTCGAACATGACCGCCTCCATCAGTGCCTTCTGAGCCCTGCCGTCGTGGTGGCCGTGGTCGATGCGGCCCCCTGCGGGAAGGCAGGTGAGATGGGAGGGACCCGTGATGCCCACCCTGCTCTGGGCCCCCTGCCCCTGCTGCAGGGAGGCCCCGCGCACCCTCGACGAAGAGGTAGAAGCCGCGGGGGTTCCTGCTCAGCAGGCGCAGGGCCGCCTCGGTCATCTCCATCAGGGACGGGTCCCGCGTCGTGTTCCGGTAGATCTCGTAGGTCATGTCTGCCGGCTCGAACAGGCCTGTGGGTCAAGGGCCCCCTGGTGACTGAGGCGCTGGCGAGCGGGTAGGGGTCCGCACAGAGGCTGCGCACAGGCCAGGGGCGCCAGGGCAGGAGGGGGTTACCCATGAGGCGCTTCACAGACGAGTTCTGGGAGGCCTGAATGAGCTCCCGGCGGTTCCACACGTACTGAGCAACCTGGGGCAGAGCCGGGCCTCAGTCCTCAGCCGGAGCCCTGCAGCCCGCCGCCCCTGCCCTCGTCCCTGCCTGGCCCGGGCACCTAGAGCCCCTCACCTGGTTGTGGGGGAGCCACTCCTGCACCAGGTCCTTGCCATCCAGCCTGATTCCACTCTGGCTGGCATCATCTGGGTACTCAGGGTCCTGGGTCCCCTTGGGAAACATGTACTTGCGGCCCCCACCCAGGATCACCTGGAGCCAGAGACCAGGCAGGTGGGCTGGGGCAGACCGCACCTGCTCCCTCGGCGGTGTGCGGTCCCTGCGCTGGAACTACCTCCCAGGGACCCCACAGCCCCTGCCCGCCGCGCCCCTCCCGTCCGCCGCCCTGGGGTCGCACGTCGATGTCCGCGTTGACGAGCTGCGTGGCGATATCCTGACAGCCCGCCCGCAGCGCGTCTGCAGGCATGTCGGCGTCCGAGTACCAGTTGCGGTTCACCGTGTGTGCGTAGGTGCCGGCCGGCGAGGCGTGCTGCACCCGCGTGGTGGTCACGACTCCCACCGACTTCCCTGGGACGGCAGAGGTCGTGGTGGGTGACCGGGGTCTCCGGGGTCTCAGGCCCGCCCTGGCCCCACGGCGGCCCAAGCCTACCCGCTTTCTTGGCGCGGTGCATCACGGACAGGACCTCGTGGCCGCGCGCAGTCTCGCACTGGCCAAAGCGGGCGGCCGCACTCAGGCCGATGGTGCCGTAGTTGGCCTTGACGCCGCACAGGTAGGCCGTGGCTGTGCCTGCGCTGTCCGGCACCTGCCTGTCCACGTTGTACGTCTGGGCACAGAGACACGCTCAGCCCCCCTGAGGCGGCCCCAGGTCCCAACCCACGCCCCTGCTCCCCAGGCCCTGCCCACGCTCTCCAGCCCTGTCTCGGCGCCGCGGCCCGGGCCCTACCTTAGACAGAGCCACGTAGGGGAAGAGGTCCATAGCCAGGGGGGTCTCAGGCCCCAGCTTGCCCTTCAGCTGTGCTTTCAGGATCCGAGTGGCTGTCACGGTGGGCACCCCCATCCCTAAAAGGGGCAGATTACTTCAGGCCTGACCCCCCAGTGCCGGCCTGTGTCCACCAGTAGTCTTGGGTGCCAGGACTGGGAGGGCCAGGGGTGGGCAGGCCCCGGCCCCTGCCTGTCCACGTTGTACGTCTGGGCACAGAGACACGCTCAGCCCCCCTGAGGCGGCCCCAGGTCCCAACCCACGCCCCTGCTCCCCAGGCCCTGCCCACGCTCTCCAGCCCTGTCTCGGCGCCGCGGCCCGGGCCCTACCTTAGACAGAGCCACGTAGGGGAAGAGGTCCATAGCCAGGGGGGTCTCAGGCCCCAGCTTGCCCTTCAGCTGTGCTTTCAGGATCCGAGTGGCTGTCACGGTGGGCACCCCCATCCCTAAAAGGGGCAGATTACTTCAGGCCTGACCCCCCAGTGCCGGCCTGTGTCCACCAGTAGTCTTGGGTGCCAGGACTGGGAGGGCCAGGGGTGGGCAGGCCCCACACTCACCGTCCCCCAGGAAGAGGATGAGGTTCTTGGCCCTTGTCTGAATGGGCTGCAGCTTCTTGGCCCTGTCCAGGGCCACCGCTGCCTTGCTGTTCCAGAAGGCTGGGTCCTCTTCCTCAGCTGGCCAAGGGGAGAGCCGGACGGGTCAGTGGGGGCTGACATGGGTGTCAAGGGAGGCACCCACGGGGCGTGCTCATTACCTGGGATGACGCCGAGGGAGAGCCGTGCCCACAGGCCCAGGAGCAGCAGCAGCACCCAGGCCGCCCGCATGTCTTCCGGATGAGGCAGTGGTGAGGTGTCAGGACACCAGGGTACCAGCCACGTCCAAGCCCTGTCTGGGCTTAAGTAGGGGAGGACTTTGCCCCTGGCTATAAACTGCTCTGTCCCTCCCCTCCTTGCCCTGTGACCTGAGGCCATACTGGATGGAGGAGTGTGCAGGGTGTGACTGAGGTCGCCTGGGGCAGGGTCTCTGAGACAATCCCACATCGGTCTGTCTCCACCCAGGTAGGGTGGGGCCTGGGGACAGATGTCCGCTGGGTGAAGTGCCACCTCACCTTCCCGGCTGCCACTGTCTCGGGGTTGCCACTCCTTTTCCACCTCACTTCAGGATCGCTGGCTGGGCCAGGTTCTGTCTGGGTGCTGAAGGGAGTGGGGTTCGAGGTACACGTCCGGGGCCAGGGGCCTGACTTTGGCTACCGGATGCCACAAGCTTCAGAGATACTGGGGGTAAGCAGGTGTGGCCTGGCTGTACCGATAGCCACCGATACTCACCAGGCTCGGGCTGGCCGGGTGGGGCACCCAGCGCCTGGGCCAGTCTCGTACATGTGTGTGGACACGCGTGCCCCTATACCTGGGGAGGTGGGCGTGGTGGGGCCAGGGGCTGGCACCTCTGGGCCCTTCAGGGCACCTGGACGACAGGCACGTGAACTTGACCGTGTCTCTTTGATAAGGATCCTGTTTGCTAACTGCTGGTAAACAGGAAGCCTTTTTCTTCTACCTTTGTAAATTGCCTCCTGGGAATGTGGTTTCCTTAGTCTGCAGCAGCCTTGACCCAGACTATGTAATCCCCGTACCTTGGTAGGGAGGACAGGCATGCCGGGACCTCAGGACGGCCGTATAAACCCAAGTTCTCCAACTCTGAGTGGCGCGTGGTTTTCCAGCGGTCTGTTTTCTACGACTTTAGACAAGCAGAGAACTCTGGAGTGGGTTTACTGCCGTGGGACCTGGGCACGCCCAGCCAGCCTTTGCTAAGGAGTAGGAGGCTGTGGTAGCCTCAGCAGGGTTCAAAAGTGTCCCCCCAATCCAGAAACCCCCCTTCCGACAGTACGCCCCGGAGAACGAAGGCAGGGGCTTGAGCAGCTCTGCGCACGTCCCTCCAGCAGCAGAGAGGAGGCCGCAGCTCCACTGTCGAGGGAGGCTGGTCAGCACACGTGATACGTCCACCTCCCCAGGTATAGGGGCACGCGTGTGAAGGAAGCCAGTCACGGAAGACAAAGACGCCTGATACCAGTTCTTCTTTTTCTTTTTTTTAAAAATAATTATTTAACTTTATTTATTTATTTTAATTTGATCAGAGAAGGATAGAGAGAGAGAGAGGGAAAGTGAGAAAGCAAGCCGCCAGGTCTGGGACTCGAACCACAGTTGGACATGTGAGAGTCCAGTACCCTTAGCCTCCACACCACCCGCCAGTCCCCAGTTCTTTTTTTTTTTTTAAGAGAGATTTTTGCTATAGGGCTCATGCGATTGCTGGAGAAACACAGACACACAGAGAAAGAAAGCAAGCAATAACCCCTCCAGAGGGGATGGCCACACCACAATCCCTTCTCCTCCATTCTCCTCTTGGGGCTTTAGGCCCACACACACATGCGCCCGCTGTGAGTTTAAAGCCACGGGTTCCCGGATTGAACTGCAGTCAGCTACATAACCATTATGCCATCTGGTCCCAGATCCCAGTTCTATGAGGCCCCCAGGCTACAGTTTTCATTTTGCAAGATGGAGCTGCCCGTGGGACGTGCTTAGCGCTGAACTGGCTGCTTGGCCCACATGGGAAGTCCCGGGGTTGCATCCTGAGGCCTCCGGGGCGAGCCAGCCACTTCCCCAGGGTTCATGGTGGCCGAGGCTGGGGTGGTCACAGCATCACCCCCACTGGGGATTCGCTCTTTTCCTAGTTTTGCTGCAGGTCCAGTGTGCTTGCTGGGGAGAGACGAGAGAGAGCCCCAGGGAGGGGCCACACTGCAGTGCCTTCTCCATTTGCCTCTTGGGATTTTGGGCATGCTTGATATGACCCGGCATGGTTTTGTAGCCGCTGGGTCTGAGACTGTAACTGAGAGCTCGGCCATGTGGGACCCAGCGCCTTCACCACCACTCCGCTGGCTGGCCCCCTCTCTCTGTTCTCTTTTTCTCTCTCATGGAAGACATAAATAAACTTTAAGAAGTGGTGAAGATGGTAAGTTTATGTTTTGTGTTGTTAGGACGAATTGACACAACCATCGCCATGTTAGACCCTCAAGGACAGAACCCGGGAGTCTGAGACCACATAAATAAAGTACGATGGGCCCTGACGATGCCAGGGGCAGGTCACCCTGACCTCAACTGAAAGTCCTAATCTAAACCTAAACATATAGTGACAGCTAGCTTTCACACACCCCCTCCCTCGAGTGGAAAATTACTGACTGTGCTTCCTGCATTGCGATTCGGAGCTGTAAAAGATCCCTTTATCTTAGGCTCGGGGTCCTTGTGAAGGCCCACTGCGACGGGCAGAAACTCGGACCCCAGCTAGCTGGAAAAATAAAAGCCTCTTTTGCAGTTGCATTGTCGCTGTCTTTTCTGTGTCTCCATCACTTAGACCGATCTCTGGACCCTTACAGTATGTTTTACTGCAACTAAAAAAATTTTAAAGCAAAAATGCCTTCCTTCAAGTGCCCCCCATCCCAGTCCAACCAAAGAGGCCCACTCAGGCCTCCTCGGCACCCAGAGCCACGGGCATGGACCCCGGCCCAGCCCCCACTCACTGCCCAGCATCAGGTGCCCTCCACAGAGAGCTCCCTGGGTCCTCCTGCCTCCCCTCTGCCAGGCTGCCAGACCTCAGGGAAATGTTCCTCCGGGGAGCTTCCCACCTCCTCCGGACCACTGCCCTGGTCCCCTCTGCTCCGGCATCACCTGGCTGTGTTAGGAAAGTTCTTGGTAAAGGTCGGGAGACAGACCTCCCCAGGCCTGCCTGCGCGCGGGGCCTTCAGGAAGGCTGGTCACGTGGACTCAGTTGCTACAAGGTCCGGCCATGGACGGCTGGGAGGAGCCCTCAGCCGGGAGCAGCAGGACTCACCCAGGAGCCTCGTGGAGGCTCTGGGGTCGCTGCAGCGAGGGTGCTGGCAGCCGGGGCTGGCAACGGGGCTCTGGGCCTGTCTGCACGCTCCGTGTGTGAGTATCGGCCTGTGGTCCAGCCCCATGGAACCAGGGCCCTGGGGCTGTGCTGCCTGGAGCAGGGCACTGACCTGAGAGGCAGCCCTGGGAAGGGCCTGTCCAGGCCCTGGGGCCGTAGGAAGGAACCAGAGCCCGCAGGGACACAGGGGTTGGAGGGGGGTCTGCGCCGCAGAGGGCCTGGCTCCTGGAGCTGGGCGCATTTCAGGACCCGTGGGGGTGCAGTCTGGGGGCCCCAGGGGCGGTGCTGGGCCACATCACCCCCTCACATCAGGAATCTCAGCCTGCACAGGGGCAGCTCCAGCTGGCGCCTGGGGTCCGAGAGAGGGCGAGATCTCTAAGGAAGGCCCCAGAATGCGTTTAATGCAGGGAGCCCAGTACCCCAGCCCTGGAAACTGAGAGCGGGGGGTGGAGCAGAAGGTGAGCCACCGTGGAGCTGCGTGTGGCGAGCCCCTGCAGGGGAGGAGGTACGAGGAGAGGTGCTGCTTGATTACAGTCTTCTGAGCGCGGTCACAGGGCCATCATCCTGGCAGGATGCGCCAATCCGATCCGGTGGGCTTCGGAAACCTGGTTGTTCCCTGGACACTGCCCTGGAGAAACAGTCAAGGGCCCCAAGAACCACTGGGCTGGGCTTACATGCTGGGGTGCTGATAGGTGGAGCCACAGGAAGGGGAACCTCCAGGTAAAGGCCTAGGTGGGGGCAGGGTCCAGAAGCAGCACCGGCCAGGCGTGGGTCCCCTGGGGAAGAAGCAGGAAGTATGGGCTGGGCACCTGGGGCAGCGGGCTGGGCGGGGCAGAGCTGGCTTTAATGCCCACGGGCAGAGCTGGGATTGGCACTGTGCTGTGCTTGGGACCGGAGGAGGCCCCGCTGGCCTCCGGGTGCTGGTGGAGGTGCTGTCCAAGGAGGGAGAACTTCAGACGGAGGTGGAGGGGATCGGTGTGGGAGTCAGACTTTGGATGTTGAGTGGCATCTTCCTGCACTTTGATGCCGGGATCTGCCCATTCTTGGCTGATTCCCCTCCTACGGTGCCCCCAAACAGCCCCTCTCCCCCCTTCACAGCCTAGGCCGTTTCTTCGCCAGCGACTTCTCTGATCTGCCTTTGCCCCAGCGGCCGCAGGACCCTCTGCCTCGGGTTCTTCACACAGGATGCAATCAGGAGGGCCAACAGCAAGTGACAGACGAGGTGCCTGCCAAAGCGGAATAGGGGCCGCAAGTGCGGACTCAGTGTAGCAATCCCGGCCTGGATGAGGGGCCTGGAGAAGTGCCCCGGGGCTTAAGCACCAACATCTTCAAAGGGGCATCATTTAACTCTCCCCAGATTGGAAAGAGCCCAAATGTTCATCAATAGAAAGGATAAAAGTGGCAGCATTGGAACCAGCTTGATGGTTAGGGTGGCTGGATCTTCCATGGCCGACTGTGCTGTCCGTACCTGGGAGCTTGAAAATACACTGGGTGTGGAACCAGCAGTTAGCGTAATGGCTGTGTCGCTGGACTCCCATGTAGCCGAACACGGTTAGAGTCCCGGACCCGGTGGCTTAAACTCACGCCAGGTACATGTGTGTGCATGCCCAAGATCCCGAGAGGAGAATGGAGGAGAAGGGATTGCGGCGTGGCCATCCCCCCGGGGGGGTGATTTCTCGCTTTCTGTCTCTCTGTCTCTCTCTGTCTTTCTGGCGAGTGCATGTGCCCTATAGCAAAAACCTCTCCAAAACAAACAAACAAACAAAGAAACAAACAAAAACAAAAAGAATACAGTGGGTGTGTGCGCAAGCATGCCCAAAGCTGCAAGAGGAGAATGGAGGAGGGAATGCAGCGTGGCCATCCTCCTGGGGGGGGGGATTTCTCTCTCTCT